AAAAACAGGCGGAAGGATCGCCAGAGCCCAGCAGGTCGAGGCTGCAGTGACTGGGAGTGGCCACTGCACTCCAGTCTGGGTGACAGAGTGAGACTCCAACTCAAAACAAAAAAAAAAATGCAGGTGCCCTGTAATTTTTCTTAAAGCACCTAAAATCACTAGTAATTTTTATATAAGATAAAGTAGTCTATACATATCTTGCTATAGTTAAATACATAATTCAGAATCTTAAATGTTTTACTTCTAATAATTAACCAAAACTGAAGCTTGTGAAATGCTGTTTCTTTTTTTTGTTACAACTGAGAAGGTGATTTCATGTTACTTTATTTTAAAAGTATATTACACAGAATTATTTGAAAATTCTTTTTAAAACATTTATGTAGTTTTAACTAAATAATTTTAACTAAATGCAAACATTCCGTAGACATGAAATAATTTATCTGTCTAACATTCTGAGGGATAGGGCAGTAGCATAATGATTGTCATTATACATGTTTTTATAATCCTTGATTTGTTAATATTTTGCATTTTTAGTAATTAGTTGATAGATAGAGATTGCAACTAAGTCACATTTCAGACTTAACCTTTTGTCCAGGGTATTAAGTATGTGCTTTAACTGCTTTTTCTCGGACTATTTATTTCCCATATGGCTCTTATTGGCAGGGTAGAGATTTAGTAAGCTTCACCGTAGGATCATTTTTGTTTTGTTCAGTTCCTGTCTTTTTTTGGCTTGTCTAAATGTTTCATTTCTATTACAAAACAAGTAGTGGCAGAGAATTTCTAATTGTTGATAGTGGAATTTTAAAATTCTGCATCAGTTTTGGAATATGGTTTTTACATAAAATAAAACTAAAAAAAACCCCTTACTGTTCACAGCAATTTACTTGTTACTTTATAATTTAGAATCTGAGGCACGGTAGCACACATAACTTGAAGATATTATATCAAGTGACAGTATATTGAGATTGAAAATATATATTTCTAGGAGTTGGACATGAATTTCAGAAGGTTTCAGTTGATAAGTCATTTTCTAGAGGATGGAGTCGTGATCAGCCTGGCCAAGCACCAATGAGACAGAGAAGTGCAACAACCACTGGTTCCCCAGGAACCGAAAAGGCGAGGAGTATCGTACGGCAAAAAACTGTTGGTATGTACTCTTTAAAATAATGAAAATTGTGCAGGAAGATACATGTATAGTCCTTAGAAACAATGTATATAAAGATACAGTTTTCTTATCAGTGGGTTTTTGTTATGAAATGAAAAACTTCTGTAGCTTAACTTCCCTTTTTTTCCCACTAGTACTCAGAGTCCAGTGACATGTTTATCTCTTTGTGCTATTAAGATTTATCTTATACCATTGTTTTTATGTAGTTGATTTTATGTAGGTAGCCCTAATTTTAAAATGCTGTTTTACAGAATTGAAGAAATTGGAACTCTATTAAAATCATATAAAATATGATTTTATAAACATACAAAATTAGGGTAGCTAATGTTTAGTGCTACAATTACATAGCAGATTGTCTGCACAAGCTTCCAACAAGGGATTCATGTTCTCTACTGGCAGACAGCCAAGGCCACCATGGTGTCTATTATTATATTCTTTGCTGCTTTTAACAAATATTGAATAAATTTCTATAATCTGGGAAATAGCAACACAGGTAACAATGATAGGAAGAATTTCTTGATACAGTATCACACTGCATATTGTGGACCTAACTACTATCATTCCTTTTTCTCCCAGAGTTTTATAAACTTGAGTGAATTGTAATAGAAAGAGTACTGCAATGAAAAACAAAAAGAGAGTGTTTTCCTAATCTCTTTTCTTACTCTCTTTCATCACTAAATAGCTAGGAAACCTTGGACAATTTATCAGACCTTTCTAGGCTTTCAGTACTTCATCTTTGTAGTGGGAATGATGATATTTCTCATGCCTGAAACAAAATTGCTTGGAGTTATTTCAGGGTTTACAATCTGTGACTCTATGAACGAAAACTCTTCCATGGAAATATGTCTGTATTTAACCCTTTGCACTCAGAGACATCTTGCAGATCACCTACCAGCAACTCAACCATACTTTTTTACAAAATAGTAAAAAGCGTATCACTTTATATTAAATAGTATAGCATTGGAACTGATTATTTTATTCTAATGATATTTGGCTTATAATGTAATTTTGGACATTAAGGAATTTATAACAATAAATCAAAATGTTTTATCTTACATTTTTCTAACGTAGTAGTGAGTGAAGTGCTCACTGACATGCATTGCAGGTTCATTGATACACGTTGTGCAGTAGTAATTTGTTTGAAGTGTTCCACCTGGTGTTTTTCTGTTCGAGCAGACAATGCGGTCTCATTTTTTTCCTCCCACATTAATATATAATTTATTGTCTGGCCTGTTTTTCAAATACAGTGTGAAAGGAAGCATTCTTGATTCCTGAAAATCACTTCTCAATCGATAAGAAACTTGACAGATGTCTTCAGAGGGGACATCTGAGTGCAAACGGTTAATGGTAATCAGTGAAAAACACTATTAATTTGAAAGAAATTTAAAATCATTATTTAACGATACTTGTATAAAAAGATGGGCTCTAAAAAGTTGAGAAGTAGAGTTTAAAAGGAAGAAACAGAACTAGAGAGAAATGAAAGGAAATTAAAGATTTTTAAAAGAATTGAAATCTGTGAGTGACTTTTTTGTTTAATATTCCACCCTTCTGGCCTTTATTCCTTTTTATGAAAAGTCAACTGTTAGAAAGAATAAGTTCAAGTATTTGATAGCACAGTATCAAATATAGGGAATATAGAGAAATCATAGTTAAAAATAATTTATTATATATTTCAAAATAGAAGGGAAGAATTAAAATGTTCTTACCACAAGTAAAATATTAATATTTAAGGTAATGGGTATCTATATGGGTAACTTAAAGGTCTTTAAAAGGATCACGTTTTTGGAAGTGTTTTATGTTTATAAAATAAGAAAGAAGAATTTTTTTGGTTGTATATGTCAAGCTTAAAGAATGAGAAGAGTTATAAGGAAAAAATACTGAAGGATTCAAATTAATTTAGTATTTAAGAATCTTGCTGAGCCGGGCTTGATGGCTCAGCCTGTAATTCTTCACTTTGGGAGGCTGAGGTGAGTGGATTGCCTGAATCTGCGGGTTCGAGACCGACCTGGGCAACTTGACGAGACCTCATTTCTGCAATTAATAAATCAGCCGTTCATGGTAGCGTGTACCTGTAATTCCGGCTACTCGGAAGGCTGAGGCGGAAGGATCGCCGGAGCCCAGCTGGTCGAGGCTGCAGTGGCTGGGAGCGGCCACTGCACTCCAGTCTAAGCATCAGAGTGAGACTCCGACTCAAAAAATAAAAAAAAAAAGATTCTTGCTATAGACTTATCTTTTGGAATTCTAAGGAAAACGATGATTATATCTGAAATGCTTTTTCTTCATTTCATTCATTCATTATATTAATGTCACATTTACAGAAGACATATATTAGGAAGGAACTGTTCCTTTAAATTTAAACTTTTAATTGTATTTTATTTAAACTTTGACTTTTATAAAAAAAGCATTTTATATTATTTTCTGATTATACAAGTCATTTATGCTTAGTGTGGAAAGTAAAGTTTAAGGAAGCATAAAGACCCATTAGCTATCTAATGAGAACTAATAATTGTTAACGTGTTGGCATATATCTTTAAGTCTCTTAAATACATATATGGAGTAAAATATTAGTATTGACTTCATTGCTGTGATTACTTTCTGGATATACTTATGGCAAAACAACCTTTTCTGAACTGAACAAGCCTATCAAATTTTTAAAGCTTTTGGTGACAAAGGTGCCTGTATAAAATTGGAAATACAAAAAAGAGCAACAGACTAAATTAAGATATTCTTTGGACATATATTTTCTTTAATTTTTAAAATTATTTGTGTTCTTAATGAATGTGAACATAGTTAAAACTTTAGAGTGTAATAAAGTGTAGACATTGTAGCCTTCCTCATCACTATTCTGCACTTCCCATTTTACCTCATTAGAGACAACTATTACCAGTTTCTTGAGGATCCTTCTAAAGATGCTTTATTTATATATAGGCCTATAGCAGAATGTACACACTGCTGTAAAACCTGGCTTTTATACATGTGAGTGAAAAAAGCCTTTAAGTACTCATTGTGGAAATAGTGTTCTAAGCTTTGAGGATATAGTTGTGAACAAAGAAAAATTCCATTGGAGCTGCTAATTCTAGTGTTGGGGGACCTAATAAACAGATAAACCAGTAAACACAACAGGAAGTAAAGAAAGTAAGTTATGAAGAAAAGTAAAGCAGGGTTAAGGACTAGAGTGTTAGGTCTGGGGAAATAGGGCCATTTTAGTTAGGGAGATCAGGGAAGGCCTATTTCTATCCTATGATGTAAGGAAAAAGACCTGAATAGAATGAGAGAATGAGTTTATGGGAAGTGCATTCCAGGCAGAAGGAAAAGTATAGAAACCCTAGAACCAGGAGTGTGCTTGACTGTTTGAAGAGGAATAAGGAAGTCAGTGTGGCTGGAGTGGAGTAAGGAAAGAAGAGAGTGTTAGGAGATAAGGACAAGCTGTAGTGATATATCTTAAAGACTATTATATATCAAAAATGTTGAACTTCCTGTATCATAATTCATTACATGGAAGTACTATAGCTTAACTTATGTCCTGAAGATGGATGCGTGTTTTAAATTTTGTGCTATTAAAAATGGTGTAGAATATACTTATGTAGTCTTCTAGATTAAATCAGTAGGATTTAAATTACTTTGCCCTCTAAAGAGACTACTAATTTATACATTCATTCACCATAAAAGAGTTCCTGTTGCCGGCATGGTGGCTTATGCCTGTAATCCCATCACTTTGGGAGGCAGAGATGAGAGGATTACCATAGCCCAAGGGTTGGAGATCAGCCTGGGCATCTTGGCGAGACTTCATCTCTTCAATAAATAAATTAAAAAATTAACTGGGCATGGTGGCGCATACCTGTAGTTCTATCTACTTGCCGTGAATGTTCCACGGTACTTCAGCCTGGGTGACAGAATAAGACTTTGACTCAAAAAAAAAAAAAAGAACTCCTGTTTCTTTCACACGCTTGCCATTGAAGTGTATTATTGAGCATTTTGCTCCATTTGTATAATTTGAAAAATTATCTGATTGTAATTTTAATTTTTTTTTTTTTGAGTTGGAGTCTCACTCTGTCATCCAGACTAGAGTGCAGTGGCCGCTCCCAGTCACCAGAGCCTCGACCTGCTGGGCTCCAGCGATCCTTCTGCCTCAGCCTTCCAAGTAACTGGAACTATAGGCGCACACTACCATGCCTGGCTAATTTTTGATTTATTGTAGAGATGAGGTCTCACCAGGTTGCCCAGGCGGGTCTTGAACCCGTGGGCTCAGGCAGCCCACGCACCTCAGCCTCCCAAAGCGCTGGGTTTATAGGCTGAGCCACTGAACCTGGCTTAATTTTTTTTCTTAACTATAATGAGCATCTTTATGTAAATTTAAAGTCCTCTTGGGGTTAAAGCATAAAAATTGATTAGTCTTTAATGATTCTAAAAAATATGTATGTTGAGGGAGTACAGTTAAAGTTCTTCTTTACCAAAAAATTTAAGCCAATAAATATAGAAGGAATTAGAAAAATCTCCATTTTACAACCCTAATAGACTTAAGCAAAGATCATCAATAGATATTAAAACCTCTAGGTAAAAGTTTGCTTGGCAATAGGATATTCACATGCTAAGGAGTATTTCAAAGATTATTTACATTTACAAAGGGTAAATATACCTTTACAATGGAGGGACCTGGAGGTCATCACCTACCTAATCAACCCTATATACCTTACTTCCAGCTTATAGTACAGTTAGGAGATAGAAGAACAAGTTTAGTGACTCCTAGAGAAAATAAACCAAACCTGAATGTAGTTTATTTTTATGAGATGACTGACTGACCTAGACTTTCCAAAAAGACAGTATCATTTTTAAAAAGTTGAGGTGGCGTCTGTTTTAAAGTGACACTAATTGAATGTGATACATGAACTCAGATGGAATCTTGGTTTGAGGAAACATTATAAAAATCATTTGGGGGATAATTTGGTAACTTTGAATATGGATTGAATATTAGATAATATTAC